TTGGTCCAGTCTAACATACTATCTCAACACTTCAGCGGAGTGGCATAAATTTTTTACATTAATGGTCCCCTACTGACTTTGGTTGATCTTTTGATCCTTGGACTTTTAATTTATCGCCACCATGAGGTTTATATTTAAGGTTATGAGCAAAATGTCTCAACAACTATTGGATGGATTGCCACAAAATTTCCTACGGATATTAACGTTCCTCTCATATTAAACTGTAATGACTTTTTCAATTTTCTAACATTTTGATTTATGGCCATATCATAATAACTGCAAAACCAATGACAGTCCCATCAACCTCAGTGTCATTAGCAACACCTTTGTGTAATTAGCAAATACTCGAATGCTCACACACTAAGCTGAGATGGTAAATGAGGGCAACATTACACCTGCTAAACTTCAGCCTGTTAGCATTATCACTGTGATCAGGTTAGCATGCTGATGTTGGCATTTTGCTCATAACACAGCTACAGCCTTAGAGAGGTGCTACAGTAGCATAGCTGTAGATATTTAGTCATGTTGTTTTACATCACCACTTTGTGGAGTTGGTTAGGTAACATTTAAACATAATAAATGATAATAATAACAAAATAAATGCATACTCACATTACATATCATTAACACAGGACTGTCAAAGAATCCCCTAGTTAGTCTAGTGGATTTACCATTATTTAAAAGCAATAACAAACTCATTATGGTATTGAAAACAACTGGCCTACAGTACACAGTAAGTGATGACTACAACATCAGTAGAGACAGTTATCTTTTTTGTTCTAGCCACAGTTGGACCAAAGATTAAGTACCATTACTTCTTTGGTTGTTTTGACCCAATGGGACACTTAAAAACACCTCTATATAACTTGTTTGCAAATGATAGAAAAACTCAGAACTGTTAAATATGTGTGACTTTGCAAAAGAAAAAATATAGACTAATACACAGCAGATAACTAGCTCGGTGTGAATAAGTTCACTGAACTTATTTTTAAGTGTAATATGAATTAGTTTGCTTGCATCAGATCTGCTCTATAGAAAATGTGTTTACCAGGTTTATATGTTACTTGTCCGTTGCTTTCATTTATCAGAACTAACAGTGATCATGCTCACACAGACCAGGTATTTCTGTTTGCGGCTGAGCACAAAACCAGAACTGAGCCAGAATGGTTGTTTGACCCATCCTGTATAACTTACAGGAGAGACAGATTAATAAAAGGCCCAGCTGGAAAGCCACTGAGCAGCAGATCAGCTAAGAGGCTACAGTGCCAGCAAATCTCAAGCACTCAGCTGGTTCCAAATAGGGCGGGTTGGCACACACTCAGTGTTGGGTGTCCTGCTAAGGGACTGGCAGATGGAAATGCTCTGCCTGTTAAAGGATCAGGCTGTGGGCTACAGATCAGGACTAACATATAGGACTAGCAGTTTATGGTTGTTACACTGGCTTGGCTCAGTGTATATGCGTATCTGAGGGTGGGTTTCTTTATGCAGGGAAATGAGTGTGTGTTCTTTTAGGTCTGTCCTCGTGTGGATCAAAAGTTATGAACAAAGTGGAAGAAATTAAAGGCCAAATGCTTGAGTAAGGTGTGTGTGTATGTGTGTGTGTGTGTGTGTGTGTGTGTGTGAAATGTCAGGAGAAAGAGTCTGAGTCAAAGGTTATTAAGTACCAGCCTCTTATAACGGCTGTCTCACAGTTGGATCTTGATGTACGGTGCTTGTATTTATAATAATTAAAGAGTGGTGTTGAGTGGGTTTAGATGACAGGAATG